CAGGTGAATGTATGTGAAGTGAGCGCGAAGAGCCGCACATACGGCACGCTACGCTCCTGCGTACTCCGGCTAAACGCGATCTAATTGATTAACTTTATTCGTTAATAACTCTGTAAATAATGGTCTGAGCCAAAATTGAAAGAGGAACTTTTAGTTCAAAATTTCATTCTCTTTTACGCCTTGAAATATTAATTAAGCGTTACGGGACACCCTGTATACATATATTTTTTGGAGTTTTCTTTCCCTACAATCATACAAGAAATATTAAGTCTCTTAATAACTAGATAAGAGACTTACAAAAACAATAATAATAATAATAATAATAATAATAATAATAAAAAAAAGAATGGAAAAATATACGGATAAATAAAAGATATATGTGTATGCACTAACACCGTTATACACCGTTATATTACTTATTAAGTGTAAATATTGTAACAAGAAGCACGAAAGAAATTTAGGAAGAGGTTTTTTGGTGATCGCCTTTTCTTTCCTGCTTCTTGATCCCTCAAGGCAGGATATTGAAACAACATGCGATCCTATGAAAAGTGGGTTAATCTATCAATATAACCTAATACTCCCATTTATTGTTGTTTCCCCCCTTAAGAATATATCTAGTAAAATCCTCCCTTTAAAAACAAAAAAACATGATAAAGAAACAATTATGTGTATATATTAAAGAAAAAAAATAATAAGGTGGGGAGCTTAATCACTTGATCATCGATTGCAGTATATACGAGTTGCCAGCATCCCGGTATCTCCGCCAGATTGCCGAGTTACGAAACAACGTGGCGCGGGCCGAACAGCAATGGATTATCTATAGATACGCGACATCGTTTCGATGCGTTACTGCAATGAATGGGCGTGAGATATATCAACATTCCAAGGAGTTTATTAAGATTTGCGAGAGCTGTTACGAGAACGTCCCTGCCAATATAAAAGGCAAATACCGGCCTATCTTCCGGCATCACTTAATCCGAAGGGATTCTGCAGACAGAGGAGCGAGATGCGCAGGCTGCAGTAAAGTGCTGATCGCTCTCAAACACGCGGAAGATTGTCCACAATGCCTTGCAGTGTTATTACGGTTGGACAGATATTACATGGAGTATTTAAACTCAGGGTGGGGAATACCGGTAGCAGTCAATTAAGTCAGAAGGCGAATTAAAACTTGGCGTCTCATAAGTAACGATGTCTGAGTGATCCTTCTTATTTGAAATGCATAAATAGAAGTAATAGTTTCAACCAGGAGGAAGGGAGAATTTTACAAATAAAAAAAAATATATATATATTATATAATAACAAAAAAATTATATATATATATTCCTTTAAAAACATACATATATATGACATTATAAAAAAAAAAATATTGCATTAAGTAATTGCGACTTTTAATATAAATTTTATATGCAATCCTAAAGTATTCTATAACTATCAACCTACTACCTCGAGGTTTATATTTAGATCAATGCACAACCAAACGAAGATGA